TATGTATGTATGTATGTATGTATGTATGTATGTATGTATACTCACTTGAACTTTGGCTTTTCCTCTGATTATAATAAAACCAGGAATGAAAAAGAGAAAATATTGATAAGTTAGGATCAAGAATGCATTGGATTCAGGGATGCTTCACCTCCGTTGAAATGTGAGAGTGAGTTTTAATTTTAGCAATCCTTTCCAACAACCGAGACCTAATTAATGCTCGTTAAGCTTCTGTTTTAAGTTACATAAACACACAGCAATACTGGCTGAGGTCAAGGAGAAAACAACAGTTTATACGACCTTTTAGCTGCCAAGTCTACAAGATAACAAAACCAACAAGTTTCCCTTCAAACCTCTACATAAAGATAAATATATATACTGCACACAACTGGCTGCTTTTGTATGAGTTTGTTTTTATATCTTAGAATTTTCACGTTTTATTTTTAACCAACCAAACGTTTACAGTTGCTAAGCTAAGCTAAACATAGCACAGCTATGCTAATGCTACAGCTGATTAGCTAAAGCGACACGAAGCTAATCAACTGTAATCTTATAAACGTATATTTATATAACTGAAGCAGTATTACTGTGCATTTTTACAATAACCAAACTGTGCTGAGGAAGAATATTTGCCTTCTTGCAGACTTCTAATCCTATCCAAACTTACCTAGAAAAAAACAATCATTCCCGTTTTTAAAAGCGCCTTGATCCGCCTTGCTGCTGAAATGTGCTAAACTCATCAACTTCATTGATTAATTAAATCATAAAATAACCATGATTAACAGGATTTATTTTAAAAGTTAAGAAAAACTTCAGGAGCAAACCAGACCAGGATAGCGTTGGAAATGTACAATAAATAAATCACCTATAAATTGAGTTACTTTGTAATAAGAGAACTAACAGAAATATAGAAGGAAATAAAATAAAAAAGTCAAATAACATGTTCATTTATTTTATTATTTATTCAATGCAGCTCACTTTAATAGATGCTTTTAATCTTATATTTTGAAAATTGTATACAAATATTGAAATAAATCTCATTAATTTATCATTAAACAACACAAAATAAACCAAATGTTTTTAAAAAAGCAGCAAATTATTCCTTGATATAAACAAATCTCTGTTATGGATGAAATGGTTTTCAAAGTTTTCCCCCTTTAATAAATTAAATCATCATTTATTTTAAAAGCTGCATTTGTTTTGGTTATGTGTCAAAATTTGTTAAATAATCTGAAAGGTAACAGCGATAAAAATAAATACAAAAAAATAGCAGAAATATGTAAGAAGGCAGAAACTTTTTCACAGCACTGTATGCCAACGTATAGTCACAGTAAAGTTATACCCAACTTCTCTATTTATCTGTGTTAATTTACTGTGAATTAGTATGTAAATCAAACCCATTTTATTGCTAAGATGCTAATCAGGATCAGTACGCTGTCATATAAATCATCACATTTATCTATTTAATAGTTAAAGTTTCCAAGCATACAGGACATCAAGTCACACAACAGGAGGGACTGGATTTTGTAGCTACTGTTAATGGTTTTCAGGATCGGGAGGCGTGTGATTAGACTTTGTTTCGTTTTAAGTGACCCTCAGACTACGACAACATTTAGAGAAACGGACAACAGAAGGGAGGAAATCGCAAGCCAAGCAACGATGACTCAGCATGAAATACAAACTACCATCTTGATCTCCATCTTCCCCTGGCAGGACGCATTCATGCAAAAAAGAGAAGAAGCAGAGATGAGCTGACTCGCCGTTTATGAATCCTCCGGCCTGTTCCTCTACTTCCTGAACCCAGGACCGATTCATTATTTATAATTAAGGCTTAGAAGAGTCCCTTGTTCAACAGGGAGACATAAAAGGTCGAATCAGAAGAACAGAGAAGAATGCAGGTCCACATACCTTCCTCTTCATAGGCCTCTGCATGCAGCAAGCGTCCAAAGCAAGAGCAGAACAGAGACCATTAGTGATCCGACTGAGCAGCCGGTACATGTTCACAAAGCCTGGAGCTCAAAAAGCACATTTACTGGATTGGGGCGTTGCTATGGAGACGCTGCAGAAGTCCCATAACGGGTCAAGCATTAATTCTGCTGTGACACTGCAGGCAGCTCCATACCTAACGATAACCAGGGTTTTATTTGTCGGCACAATAATAAACACTTTCTGTTAATTAAGACTTTATACAACGATGGGTTGATGTCTATGGAGGACCAAACCTGTCATAATTAAGAATAACTTCAGAAATACATAAGTGACTCGTTAAAATAATTACAATGCCAAAAAGCAGCTTGACTATGGAAAAGGATTGGGGGCACTGAAAAAAAAAGATTTCTGATTTTAATCTCAAAATTCTGAATTTCATTGAAAATTCTGACTTTTTCTCAGAATTTTGACCATCTTTATATTCTAACTTTTTTTTTAGAATTCAAATTTTTTTCTCAGCATTCTGATTTTAATCTCAGAATTGACTTTTTTTAAAATTCCACCTCAGAATCATACTTTTTCTCAGAATTCTAATTTTTTTTAACTATAATTTTTTTCTCAGAATTTTGACTTTTTTTTTAAGAATTCTGACTGCTCAGAGTTTTGACGTCTTTCAAGAATTCTATCTTCTTTTTAAATTACAACTCAAAAATTTGAGGAAAAATAATTCTTAGACTAAGAATTATGACTTTTTCTCAGAATTTAGACTTTTTTTTTTAGAATTCTAATTTTATTAGTTTGAGATTGTAGCTGCTAAGACAATGAAGCGTTAGTTGAACAGGCGAAGCCTGGGACGTCTGCCGTGACTCCATGAGATACACAGAACTCGAAACACATCTGAATAAGAAATTAGCTTGAATTTGATCAGCTGAAATCAGCCGAACATCCCAACACCCCAATGTAAATGCTTTGTCGCAAATGGCAAATTTCATTCTTCAGTTGCAGACAGAAAAACAACAAAAATAAAAGCTAAACATGGACTAAAGGGAGGTGAAGAATTGGCTTTACATGACCACAAAAATACCCATCATCCCTTCTGGTTTGGCCTTGAAAAAACGACATGTGAGTTTTTCAAAATGCAACTAATGATGATGGTCAATAACAACAAAACGATTCATTCAAATGGACAGAAGGCCAAGGATGACATGGGGCAACTGACTCATGTAAAGGCAACCGCCTGATTACGCCTCCCTTTCTGACATGTATGCACAGCTCATATTTAAGACACAAATGACAGAACAATAACGCTGGAAACAGGACAAAACGGTTTTTAACTGTTTGTGGATGGAGACGATGTGACAGCTGTGGGTGTTTATAAGGAAAATGTTTGCAGCAGACTCTAATATAGTGAAGTAATAGACCTAATAATGTGAAATAACGTGTGACTTTAAGCCAAAGATTACATTTACTGAATATATTCTGGATTTTCAGTTTTACCCAAAATGTACCAAAATATGAAATTTTAGCATTTGATTGTTTACTTCACATTTTCTGCCAACTCGTATTCAAAGAAAGCAGTCATAAAGAGGAATGTAAACACACATTAAAAAGGAACCGATTAATGAACTGCAAAACTATTAAAATATTTAGATTATCAATAAAAAAGCCAGTTAAGTTAAAAAAAAGCAGTTTTGCAGGCCTCATTAATACAGTGCATCCTTCTCTTAAAATGATCCCTTTAAATTGTTGAAAATAATAATAGCCAAGAGCAGCCATTTTCTAGAAATAACAGGAAATAATCATATTTCAGGATAACAAAAACTTTTCGTGATAACATTAAAGTCACCTTTTAGTATTTTTCTAGTATTTTTAAATGCATGCGCCCAAGTCTGCATTTTAGTAAAAGTGAAAAACTTAATATTTTTAGTCCTTATTTAAAAAATAAATAAAAAAGAAACAAAACGTGGATGAATAAACATATTACATTTTTCATTTTAAGATTTTAATTTTATCTGTTTAGAACAGCCAAGCATCAGTGAAAATGTCAAATCTGGACAATTATTGAATTGTAATTAATAGTAAAAAAAAAAAAAAAACAACAACAAAAAAACCTCCTTTGTGAGCTTTTAAAGGGAACCTCATATGCAAAATTCACATTTTGTTTCGTACTTCCATTTGTGTCCCAACTGCTTCTAAAACTGTTTAAAAATAAAACACTTGGCTATTTTTGACACTAAGTTCAGTGTCTGAAAAATTACCCGTTTTAAAAAGCTGTGGCAGTAGGCACTGCTCGTTACCTAGCAACCGCAGGGAAGCCCAGCCCGTTACCTAGCAACCAAGCAGAATTTGCCAGCTGGGCGTGGCCATCAGCAGCTTATTTGGATTTAAAGTGACAGGAGGCTCCAAAGCAGCTCGTCCTGAAAGACTAAAATCTAATTATCTATGAACAATTTTGTGCTAAAAATATAATGAAGATGTTTTGTATCACCCACAGACCTAAATAAATTTTATTAAATAAGCCTTTTTGTTCTCCAGGCAATAATTCATTTACCACAAAATAATAACTTTCATTATCCTGAGATAATAGTCCTGCCATCATAAAACAACTGAAAAATATTACATTATAAAGGATATGGATGGATATGGATGCTCTTGGCTTCTGTTGAAAATCAATCCCACATAAAACATTAAAGTAACTAATAAAAGCATGGACACAGTTCCTACTGTTTTCGCAAATTAACTTTAAAATATAGATAATTTTTAAGCTTTCTGCCATTAGGTCTGACTAACTGTTGCACCCTCAGGTCTACCCTGTTAGGCAGAGTGCCGTCTGGCCTGCAGCAGTTTATAAACGTACCTTCCTCCTCCCGAGCCACTTGCTGCACCACCTCCTGAGGCTCTGGTTCTGGTTCTGGTTCAGGCTCTACTTCTGGCTCTGCCTCTACCTGGGCCTCCGCCTCAGGGGCTACTTCTACTTCTACTACCTCCTCCTGGGCTACGCAGCATGCACCAAACCGCAGAGTTGGCGTGCCGGAGAAGGCCGTTAATAGAAGACCACAGACATGACAGAGCCATTAGAAACCAAATGTGAAACCGAGATTTACAGAAACGATGGATGGATGGGTGAGCGGCGGACGCTGCTGGAGAATGGAGAGAAAAACAGATGATGGATGGAGGCAGAAACTCCAGTGACCTTTCACCCAGAAGCCATATTGAACTGTTGATGCGTACGACTACTGGAGGAGCAGGGAGTCGGGTCCAAAATTACTCTTTACTCAGTAACAGAGTTGGCTGGTAACATTTACTTTTAAAATAGCAGGGAATAAATATATCTCTAGTGTTAAAGGATGAATCTGTTCTCTGTTAAGTTAGATTACATTTTCAGTCTGAGTTATTAAAATTTCCAGAAAATTAGTTGTAAAGTGGCAATTAACCAAAAAAAAATTAAACATTCACATAAATGTGAAGAAGTATTTCCCAAGCTCAAATTAACAATATAACTGATTTTTTAAAAAAGCAATCTGTCGTATAATCAGAGTTGGGTGATAACTCAATTACATTTGCGTGAGTAGCTTTTTTGAAAATTGCACTCTTAAGATTATTTTTACTATGCTGTACTTTTGTTATTGAGTAAAATGCATCAATTCTCTACCAGCTGAATTAAAAACAAACATGTTTTAACCAAAAATTCACCAGACAGACAAACCTGCAGTTTCTATTAAAGCTTCAGAAGGATTTTATTGGAAGAAATAATTTTTGCCTGATTGTTATTTTTTGTTACTTACATGAAATATGGTACTTTTGGTCCTTTAAATACCAAAATTTCCACTTAGCTTATATTTTGGTCCATCTGATGATGTAATTTTTAAATATTAAAATATAATTTGATCAGTTACTCAGTACTTGAGTCGACTTTTTACCAGATACTTTTTTAATTTCTTGGATGGATGCTTTTTACTTTTACTTGAGTAAAAATATGTTGCAGTGCTACTTTTATTTGAATACAGTGTTTGGGAACTCTGCCCACCTCTGATAATTAATACATACTTTTCTGGACACTAAATAGGGGAAACATTCAAACTTCCTGTAAAGTATTTTAAGGACACCTTCCGTTATTATTATTCTCAGCATAACCTCTCAGTTGTCTTTAATTTCTAAATTCCTCCCAAGTAGTTTTCCACATTGACCGGTTAAAATATGACCGTTGAGTGAATCAGGTCAATGACAGCAGTACTGACAATAAGAGACGGCATTGTGAAGATTCACATGTTAAGAAAATAATAGGTCTAATTTTTTTCTTAACCATGTGTCAAAATGTCACTCAGCAGACAAAATTCACCTTTAACTTGGAAGTTTTTGATGACAGCCAGAAAATTTAATGAACTGTAAAGCAAAAGCGCTAAAGATGCTGTAAAATTAACTGAAATATCTTGAAATTAGAAGATGACAGGTAAAGGCTAACAGGTGTCAGTGTCAAAGACTTCAAGTTAAGGGTGAAAGGCAATTTACTTATTAGTGTGAATGTAAAAAAAAAGTAATAAATGTGAAGTTGGTTCGGTCATCTTTACCTTCCTCCTCTTCAGTTTTGCAAAAATTAAGATGAAAATAAAAAAAATGTGGGGATAGAAAAACAAACATAAGTGAACAAACCATGACATTCAAGGTTATTCTAGCTCTCAGTTACTGATGCTGGCATTTTATGTGACAATATGAGAAAATAAGAGGAAAAATTCTGTCAGGCCTTTGAGAACAGAAACTGTGTAAAGAATTAAAGGAAGCAAAAATTAGTTGAAAACATCCTTGGATATCAAAAACGGTCATAAATTATCTACAGTGTGTTTTTGGAAAAATAAAAAGTAAAACTAGCTAAGTGGATATCTCACTTACCCTCATACCTGTAATAAGAAGGAAGAAAAGACAGAGAAAGAAAAAAAAATAAATTAGTTCCAGCAAATTTCAACTTAATTTTCTATATTTTCTGTTAAAGCTGAATAACATATGAATGTGATGAAATTTACTTACGCTTCTTCAGTGTCAGACATGGTGAAAACAAACTTCAAACCTGAAGAAAAATACAAAAAAAAAGTTCACACATCTCAACCAGAATAAATATAATTACTTATACTTCTGATGAGGGCTTTACAATAAACATGTGATATCAGATAATATGACAGTAAGAGTACAACTTAATTCACAAATATCTCGAAAGTTCTAAAGTCTTTTTGCTTTGGGTTCATACAAAGCATAGAGAATATCCAGTAACTCTTCAATTTTAATAATAAGGTCTCATTAAAAAGAAAAGCTATTTTTTGTTATGTCTTCTGTTTTGTACGGCGTATTAGTCATTGTAGACAGAAAAACAGTAGGAGTAAATGTCCACTAAAATTTCAGAAATAATCTAGAAAATATTCAGAAAGTTCTGAGTTTGAAAAATTGAACATATTCAACTTTTCAATTTTTTTTTTTTTTTCAAAAATTTGAGAAAAAAATTCTGAGATTTATCTCAAAATTACAGCTTATTTCCAGCAAATTTTCAACTTTTGAAATTCAGAAGTTTTTTTTTTTTAAAGAAAATTTCTGAAATTAATCTCAAAATTTTGGAGTCTTTTGGGGGAAAAGTATTCCTCTATAATACGACATTGCAGTTTTGGCAATGAAAACCTTCTTATGGATTATTATTATTTAAGGGATTTCATTTCGGTTCCACTTTGCTATCAAAGAAGATTTTTAAATATGACACAAACGTCTGTGTGAGCTGAGGTCAGTCTGTTTCCTGTCAGTAACTCTTTGCTCTCATGGAAAAGAATATCTGCATTACGACCATCACAGGACAAATGCTTGTGGCCTGTGTGATAAGAGCAGAAAGCTGCAGCTGTCCTGAAATATTTTCACGGCTTGTTCAGGATTGTTTACTCAGCTGTCCACCGAGTATTATCACCGCCTTTGCAAGTTTGTATTCACATGTTTAATTCTGGTTCTGAGTCAAACCACCTCGCGGATCATCTGCACTATTGTTGTGTGAGAAACTGAAAGTTTTCCATGTGCTGTACTGCAGCCTCGTTCCTGAAATTGTACATATTACTGCAGTGGAACAATCTCAAACCATTTGAAAAATGGTTTTTCCAGCTTGCCAAACAGGTTTTCTAAAGGATTTAGGTGAACATTGAGTTTGCCAAGGAAGAATAATGTGTTATGAACTACTGATGCGTTTGATTTGGAAATGTGTTTTGGCTCATTATCCCTCAACACTGCAAAAACAAAAAATTTTACCAAATAATTTTGATCTAGTTTCTTGTGAAAATATCCTAGAACACTTGCAATAAGACAAAACTAACTCTGATGTAAATTTCAGCAGCATATATAAGCTTATTAGCTTCCCTGTGGAACTCCTACAGAACCCACAGAACCTTCCAGGATGGGGACAACGGTAAATGAACCGGTTTAGATTCTCATTTATAGGACAATCCTGAGCGGTTATTTGCCAGAGGGCAACCAGACTTCTTTTCCTGTTTCTTGACACAAGTTTTCTTATACTTAAGCATTTAGGATTGTCTCGTTGACCTACAACATGAAGGTTAATTAGAATGAAGACGCCTCTGGCTGCAGACGCTCCGTTTTTCTATTTACATGCCACTGGGTCACAGTACTGCGACAGACTGGCGACCTGTCCAGGGTGACCCGCCTCTCGCCCGGAACGATAGCTGGAGATTGGCACCAGCGCCTCCCGACCCCACGAAGGGACAAGGGTGCACAGAAAATAGATGGATGGGTCACAGTAAAGCCAGGTAAACATAAAGAAACAATTAAAAATGAACAGATTGTTTCTGTGCTAAGTGCACAAAGAAAATCTGTGCATGAACAAAACAGGCTTTGATTGGATCATTTTCTCAAATTTCTCCAAAAAAAAGGTTATATTTTGATTTTCAGTGGGAAAATCTGTTTTTCCTCACATCAGAATCTTTAAAATAGTCACTTTAGTGAAAACACTGTAAAAATACTAAATATTACCAAGTATTTCTGTCTTGTTTTCAGTGCAGACATCACATGCACTTGCAATAAGACAGAACAAGTAACTTTTCAGCAAGATGTAGGAGTTTTTTAAACTCAATAATTCCTTAATATTGATGAAAAAGTTCTGGTTCCACTGGAGGATTATTTCACTTACAACAACACATTTTCCCAGAGTTACAAGTGAAATAATCTGCCAGTGGATCTCGTACATTTTCACCAAAAATACACAGAAATGAGGTCCAGTATCTTACTGAAAAGTTACTGTTAAGTTAATTATGTCTTATGTCAAATGTACTAAGATGTTTGCAATAGAAACTATGATAAAACTGTTTGGTAAGACTTCGTGTTTTTGCAATGTAAGGCTTCAGAATGAAGTAAAACCCATTCATTCGTCTCTCTTTGGTGAAATCACCTCTCTGTATATTCTATATCATATCTGTTATATATAAATTGCCTTTGGATGACTCTTCGCACTCAGCGGTGGGCACAGCTGCAGAGGACTCTGTGGATTAGTTCTGGATCACATTTCTGCCCATCAGCTGAGGAACAGTGTTCAAATAGCAGTTTAATCCCTCTGCTTGGTCCAGCGGGAGGATCTTCTGCTCCCACCCAGCCAATCAGAGCCCACCTCCAACCAACCAGCGCTTTGATCCACCTGCAGCTGACAGCGTTCTCGCCTCTGTGTGCACAGCGGTCGCGCTGCGCATACCGACATTTCAGCATGCTGTATATTTAGTGAGCGCTCCGTTTTTTTTTTCTTCTGAAAACTTAAGACTTTCTGAAACTGAAACTTGGTGTTGAAACTGACTGAGCTTCTTAGGTGCTGTGTCAAAGAGAGAAGTAGCTGATGGAGACGGAGAGCCTCTTGCACATCTCAAAACCTCATGTCTTCAAGGCGCGAACCGTGTTTTCAGCTAAACAACCAGGTGGGAATCAGTTCAAACTCTGAAACACGGGCCAAGAAGTGCCAAAACGCAAAATAGTACCAAGTATTTTTACTTTAGTTTCTAGTGCAAATATCTTACTACACTTGAAATAAAACAAAACTAACTTAAAAGAGACTTTTTAGCAAGATATAGGAGTTTATTTTAAGTAAAAAAATTATTAATATTGATGAAAAAAAAACTACTAGTTGCATTGGCAGATTATTTCACTGAGAACAAGACATTTTGTAGCAGTGAAACGAGCACGTTTGAATAAAAACAAGCTTCTACATCTTGCTGAAAAATTACTTGTAAATTAGTTTTGTTTTATTTCAGGTTTTTTAAGATATTTACACTAGGAATAGAGAAAAATACTTAAGATTTTGTGTTTTTTTTACAGTGTGAAAGAGCCAATAGCCAAGTTTCACATCAAAAATCGAGGATGAGAATCTTTAAAATAGTCACTTTAGTGAAAACACTGTAAAAATACTAAATATTACCAAGTATTGCTGTCTTGTTTTCAGTGCAGACATCACATGACAACATTTTTCAACATTTTTTTGTGCATTTTGAAGAGAGTTTATTTTAAATGTAAATTGTGACACAATAGAGTATTTATTATATAATTTCACCATGTAGGATAGTTTATTGGTTTGGAGGATTTAATGTCAGATGATGTGTTGTTTTTTAATGGGATATATTTTAGAGCTTTAGTATCAAGGAGAAAAAGAGCTCAGTCAAATAAAGCGCTAATGTCAACTGCTTGACCAGAACATTGTGAGCAGCATTGTCATAGCGGACAATTCACAAGTCTTAATATACATCCACCAGCAATCCGGCGCTCCACTTCAAAAGATTTTCAATGTCGGCATAAAAATACCAATCAATTTACTGACCAATGGATCTACTTTCCCTTAAAAACTGATTTTTAGTGAACAATCTCTGCTAACATCTTTTAATATCTTCATTACTTTTTGTGGAAAAAGACAGTTTTTTTCCACATAAAATGAGAAACAAATAATAAGAAAACTGTTTTTCAGGTGTATGAAAAGTGAATTCTTACCCAAAAGAGGAAGATCAGCTCCCTCGGCGATGAAGATGAAGGTCTGTAAGTATCCGCAGGCTCCGCTCAGAGAATAAGTCCTGCTGCTATAGTGATACTTGAGATCATCAGGCCCTTATTGGCTGCGGGATGAGAGCGGAGTGTGTGTGTGTGTGTGTGTGGATGAAGGTGGAGAGGCTGGGGGAAGTGCATCCATGACCCTGGAGAAGGAGATGGGTAGAATACTATGGATGGAAGAGGAGGGCTCAGGTTTTGGAAAGGAGCAGCTGAGAAGCTTCTGTTGCTAAATTTACAGTGACAGAAGGCCGAGAGCGGGGCTTACACATCGGCTTGGCATGCAGACAATGGAAGGAAAGTCTGTGTGGCTGCTGACCGGTTCATCAACGAGGAGCTCCATCCGTCAGGCCGGGAAGAGACGCACAGCGCTGGAGTAAGAATAGAACAAAGGAACAAACAAAACTAACCACAAACTCTATTTATTCTGCTTTTTGTCAGTTAAATGTCTCAGATCATCAGATAAGTTTTAATATCAGACAACGAAAACCTCAGTGAACACAATAATTTCAGATCCAGGCCTCATCATTACCAGAAAAAACACAACATCTTACTGAGATGTTTTGGTCGAGTTTCTAGTGCAAATATGTTAATATTAGTACAGATAGTGAAAAAAGATTAAACTAATTTACATGAATGCACAGAACAGGATTTGATTGGATCATTTCCTCCAAAGAAAAGGTTCACCAACGATTTTCAGTTGGAAAATCAGTTTTTCGTCACATCAGAAATAAATCATGGATGAAAGGCTTTAAAAAAGTCACTTCAGCATGTAACACTGCAAAAACACAAAATCTAAATGATTTTTATCATAGTTTCTCATGCATATATCTTGAAATTAGACAAAACTAACTTACAAGTAACTTTTTAGGAAGATTTAGGAGCTTAATTAGAGTTAATAGTTAATATTAGTGAAAAAGTACCAGTTTCACTGGCAGATTATTTCACTTGTAACAAGAAAATATTCCCACACGTGAAAAAATGTAGACCTTTTTCATCAATATTAAGAAATTGTTGAATTAAAACAAGCTCCTATATCTTCCTCAAAGAATACTTCACTTAAGATTTTGCTTTGAATCTTTCTGACAAGATGAGAGACTGAAACTAAACATCGCGCCCTGACCGTGTTGAGCTGAAACTGTTTATGTGAGAACGGATTGTTGCTTGGTTGTTGATTCTCTCTGTTCAAATCGCTGCTCGAACTAAAGCAAAGTCCCAAAGAAAGAGTGACAGACATTCACTGCTTACTGCTTTAAACAACGGATAATGAGAAACAGAATTAAGATTGGTTATAAGAGAGGTGAGGGGAATCCGTGGGTCCACACACCGCTGTCCAGCTTGTTTTTACCCTGATCCCTGCTGTGTGTGTGTGTGTGTGTGTGTGTGTGTCATCAGGTGGATAGTTGATGCTTCAAACGCCTTGCAGTGACTTTGACGGTGACCGCTGAAGCAAACGCCTCTGCCTGTCAGAGGAGATGAGGATAAGTGGGTTAAGCTGCTGTTTTTTAAAGGGGCAGTATTGTGTTAAATAAAATTTTTTAAACTTTACATCATGCTATAACGTTATTCCTTCATCAAAAACATACCTTAATTCTTTCCCGCATGTTCGAGGTAACGGTGCACTGATTTATTGACTAGCCGATTTATCTGTGCCGATTTCCTTAATTTTGGGAGCTCAGTGATTGGACGATACTTCCATGTGAAGCTGATCTTATTCCCTGATCTTTTCCACCTCAGGTCTAAAATCAGCCACTGTCCTCTGATCTGCAGGCAGAGGTCAGACTGACAGATGGCCCACCAGGTCATTCTGCACGTTTACAGTTAACAATAGTTACCCCAATGTTGCCAACTCAGCAACTTTCTTGTTATATTGAGCAACATTTCAGACAAAAAATTGATATTGGCTGGAATCGGCAAGTCAGGCTTTTTAAAGATCAATAATCGGCGATTGAACAGAAAACTGCAATCGGTGCATCCTTAGATTGGGGAATCCTTTAATCTATAGCTGTGTTTCCATTGACCTTATAGTTACATAATTTGACATTTTCAGGTGTTTGGGGAGATTTAAAGGAAACAAATGCGGTACTAAAATCTACTTCAAGGTAAGATCTCTCATTTAAACTGGATATATTGTTACACCTTCATCTCTGTCAGCAATTTTAAACAGTTTTTTCATTAATTTAATTATTTTTCATAAAGATTTCAACTTCTGCCATAGAAATAAATGTTACTTTAGTAATGTGTGAACCTGAAAGCCCTTTAAATGTAAAACAAGTAAAGCTGATGATAGCACATAGATGTTAGAATTTTTTTTAATCAAATATATTGTTCCTTTTTTAAAATTCCTGGATCTTTTTATAATAAGTGGTGGTTATTAAAGCTTTGATGGTTATGATTACACAGCTAAGATGTCTACTGATGCCTTTCAGGAAGAAGGTTCAGGGTTTGGATGGACGGGTGAAAGCACAGAGCCCCCTGGTGGCCGTATGCATTATTACAAATTGGATTTATCAACAAGTTGGAAGGAAAAGAAGCAAAAAACAAATATTTAGATTTGTCTTGTGATCAATAAGTAATATTTTGGCTCCTGAAAGCAGTGGAGAATAATTTAATCATTTTTTTCCTCCAATAAAAGCTTGTAATTTAGATGAGCACATGCAGTTTGATTATAAAAAATAAACAAACCTCATAAATAGTGTTTTGGTTTTATCTTACTAATCAACAAAATAATTTTACAGGTAAATACTTTTAAAATTAAAAATAATCAGCAGTACTCAGGACACAAAAATCAAATATTAAAGTTATTATTTTTTTAATATAATCAGATTCATAAATTTAATGAAAAACGGCTCTGGTTTTGTCCTGCCCATCAACAAATAATTTCACAGGGAAACTGCAAAAAACTACAAAATCTTACCAAATACTTTTGGTCTAGTTTCTAGTGCAAATATCTCAGTACACTAGAAATAAACAAAACTAACTTACAAGTAATTTTTATCAACATATAGGAGCTTGTTTTAATAACTTGTTAATATTGATGAAAATGTTCTAGTTCCACCGGGAAATTATTTCATTTATAATATGAAACAAAAGTGTTGTTATAAATCAAATAATCTGCCAGTGAAAGTAGAATTTGTTTCATATTTTTTCACTTTTCTTGATGAAAATTCACTTCTAAGTTAGCTTAGTCTAATTTCAAGTACACTAAGATAATTGCACAAAAAACTAGTCCAAAAATACTTGGTACGATTTTGAGTTTTTGCAGTGTAAATCCTTTTCAAGTGAAGAACTGTGAGCAAAAATCAGGGGGGGGGGAATATCAAACATTAAAGTTCTTATCTTTAACAGCTTCAGATCCATAAGCTGAATATTTTAGTAGTAAATCAGGTAAAATCTGTTTGTAAGAACCTCTGTAAGTTTCCTAATTTAAGTTTTGGTTGTAGCAACAGAGACAGTTTGATGATAGGAGCTTCCTCTCCTCTGCCACCTTCCTCCAGGTGGAGGTGGCCGTGGCCCGCCTGTAGGGGCTGCACCTGCGCCGTCTCAGGTGGCCCGGAAACCCCCGTCTGCCCCTGCAACACACACTGAAGGCAACAGCTTTATTTTTGGAGCGTCTGCAGGCACCGCTGCTCGTTCCCCGAGGCTCCAGTTGACTTCAGGATGAGGCGGCCCTGCTGCTCTCTGAGCCCGGATTAACAAGCAGAGAACAGTTTTTTTCCCTCCATCAGCTGAAGGTAATCCACTCAAAATAAGAGTCTGCTGCTGGTTCTGGTGAAAGGTCCTGACATACCGACCAGGCGATGGCCTGCAAACCAGGCGTATTGAGCTTGAGAACAGCTTGTGCACGATTCGTAATTTCAAATGCTTGATGCATATCAGACATTAAGATGTGTCCTCAGGAGGATGGGCTTGCAAACAAGCGCCTAACATGCTGCATGCCTTGCATACACTTGTGCTAAGACGGATGAATATGAGCATGAATCACATATTAGCTGAAACAGCTGCATTTTAAAAACTTTTCTTGTCATTTTAGTGAGAAATGAGCTCTAACATCACACTGTTGTTTCCCTCACAGCCAATAAAAGCAACAAAAAACACAAGAAGCACAAGCATCCAAGTCAGGTAAGGCTTTAGATTAATAATGCGAATATAAAACCATTAGTTTCATCTAACTAACTGCTTTTAAAGTAGATGGATTGAGGTCACGGCCCACTTTTAACACAAAGCTAATCTTACACTTTCCTCTTTTGCTGCCGGAGTGAAAACGTCCCTGATGTCCCGACCCAGAGCCTTAAATAGGGGGCGTCTCATGTTGCAGCTGCGCTTTTTGTCTCTGCGATGACAGGAGTCACTTTGACAGCAGGGATTTGCGATAAATATTTACTCAAAAAGCATTTCAGATTTTAAGTTAAACAGAGTTTTCAAGAGTTACCAAGCCTCAGCTTGTAAAAAAATATTCTGTTAGGAGAAAACTTGATTGTTTCTTAGGAGAAAGCAGAGAAATTATGGTTTAAGTAGAAATTTAACAGACATTCTCACACGGCTACACGGGGCTCAGCGTGCAGTCAGAGCCTCTCTGAGAGGATTTGAGCCTGAGATTGATTACAGGAGAACTGAAGCGGTTCCACTAAGTACAGGACAGCAGGCAGCAGGTGCTGCTCTTTTTTCCATCGCACTAAAATTAGAACCTGGATCTCTCCTAGAGCCACTCACACACTCTCCAACACCTTCACCACACAACTTATTCAACAGATTTTCCCCCTTTTGTTTGAAAATATCAGTTAGAATTTGGAAAAACTGTTAGTTCTCTAATTAGTGATGATGAATCAAACAAAAGCTTGTACCACTGATTAAACTGTGACCACTCTAGAAATTAGAGGCTGTTTTTTTTAATTTAGTAAGAATATTTCTGCAGCTCACCCAGAATGTATACACAGTGTGCACAATCGCTGCAAACACCCAAAATCTTATCAATTATTTTTGTCTAGTTTCCATTACAAACATCTTAGTGCATTTGAAATAAGACAAAATTAACAAGTAACTTTTCAGCAAAATATAGGAGCTTGGTTAAAGAAAATAATTCCTTAATATTGATGCAAAAGTTCCAGTTCCACTGGCAGATCACTTCACTTACAAC